ACAATAACAATCACCAGACATTTCCAACCGGGTAAATTTGAAAGAGTTAACTTCCTTCACTTATATAGGAAGTATCGTTTTGACTACAGGGGACAGCACCGATGAAGATGTCAAGACCGGAATTGGGGGCTTCACGACTCTGAAATCAGTGTGGAAATCTTCTGCACTAGAAAGAACTACAAAGCTGTTATCCAGCGTTTCTGATGTTCACAGTTACGCTCAATATCCAACACGCCTGATGTGTCAACTTCAACCAATTCCAACTCGTGCACAAAGCAAGAAAGTGAGAGTGTACTCTAGAATGCACAGCTGTAATCAGGTTTTTGAGTGTTCTAAACCCGTGCAAGCTCCTTACGATGCACCTTTGAAAGTTATCAGTAGAAAATAAAAATTTTCTTTCATAGGCCGATCAGGCCGCCGGGATACAGTAAGTGTTAAGTACTGTGACTTTATCCAAGGGAGACTTTCACAAATTAGACTTTTATTCACCTTTCATTGTATGCACAATAAACGAATAAAAACAAAGACAGGAGTGTCTTGAAAACATGATCTTTCATCGGTGGCAGCCGTACCAGTTTCCTCCTTGTGCACTCGCTTCACAGGGGAAGGATCCTTGAGAGGAGGTAGAGGGAAGCCTTGACACGTTCCACCAATGTGTAGTTGGAGACAAAGTTTCATTTCGCCATTGGTGTGCATAGTTGTACTAGTTCGAAGCAACCACGTCACTTAGGCCATTGCCAACGTGAAAATTTGTTGTATGGCCACTTCACACAATTGCCAATTTTTGAGTGAAGGTCACCTTTGTTCCACAAACATCCCAAGGGGATGCGCTTTCCATATAAAAACCTGGGGTTAAAATCACCGAATTAAACCGAAATGACTTGATGTCAATAAACGTTTAGGCCACACCTATAGACTCTGTAGGCGTTTTAAATTGTATTTTAACGGGACATATCCAGACATTCGGGAGCCCCTTTGTCTTCCTTTCTTGTGCCATTAGCAAGCGAAGATTCGGGATCTGTATTTGAGTCATACCAGCCATTTACGTTCTAAATTCCTTCCTGTAAATAACCTTAACTTTTATTCTACTCAAATGTACCGCTCATCAGAGCACAATTTGTTATCGGTACTTACAGACTATGTAGAACGCTGGCTGTCTGCGTAATCAGTAATGATAATAATAATTTGCAAACTAAGTTTAGTAAGGGCTTGTATGGTGTAGCTAGTCAGTCAATAAAAACATCCTTGCCTCACTAGTCAACTGAAAGCAACGATAAAGAACCTAGTCCACGGGAGATATGCTTCTCGAAGTTTAGTGTAATGATTATATGATAATCGCATTAATGAAAAATGAGGGCTATATCTCATTCACATTTCTTCGATTTTCTCCGTGCTGTTGAAATGTATGAAATGGATGCCGAATAATCCCCCGCATATTTGACTACTAAGAGCTTGCCAACATGATGCGCCTTCGACTACCATTACTGCACTCTAACTTCATGTGTGCTGTGTTGTCGGATTCACTTCAGGTTAATTTGATTTTAAAGTTCAGTTTCTATATTATAAATGCGATTAAGGCAAACTACTTTGAAAGACTATTGTCATGTTTCAATTCATTTTGTAGGACGGACGGACGTAAACCCGCCATAAGTTTAGGCAATCAATCATTTTCATGCAAGATAATTAGTTTTGATCCATCCTCAAACTTGGTAAAATCACAGATGAAATTTATTTGCTTTACTTTTAATCAATGGAAATTAAGTCATCATTCTTTGTAACTTTACTCCTTAGAATCTTCAAACCATCATAAACAATGAACCTTCAGTAGTTTAAGGGATAAACAATCGAGGAAGTTCTACCCTTCATATGACAATAATGATAATATCTGTGCTCATTATTTTATAGCCTCAGGATGGTCGAGGGTGGGTGCCTCGCGCTGCGGGTTAGCCACCCCTCCGCACACCTCTTGAAATGCTCCCATATGACCGGGCGTCCTACATAGCCTCTCCTTAGGAAGTCCTACTCACTGCCTTCACGTGGCGGAGGTGTTTTTCACCAAAGTGAGAGGGCGAAAGCGGATGCCCAGCGCTCTTCACCGGGTTGACTGTCCATTGGATGACAGTCTAGGGGAGATGGCTAAACCCCGATTCCAAACCTCGACCGAAAGCTGCTACCTTGACGTGGTGGTTGGGCTTGAACACCGCAATGACCCAACAAGCTATACTGGCTGGAACTTATGTTCCTGAAGGTCCTACCATGCCAGAAAGGTTGTTTGGATAGAGGTTAGACAAAAAGCAGCTACCCAACCAAATGCCATGACTCAAACAAAAACGCAAAATATCATGCCGGATCGGTCGGGGCCCGGATTAACAACGACCGCGCTTTCTGCTGCCGTGTCACAGGGCAGAAGTGATAAATACGCTACTGAGACACAACAGGCCGTGTGTGACCGGCCTCAAGCAGTTGTCCCCTGGGCTCTTCGGTCACGCGACCAACTTCCACGGTGTGGGCAGCCGGGAAGTAACAATCGTCCTCACAATCCGAAGTGCACACGAAACCTCTCTAATCCTCAGTCACCTTTGTCTTCATCTTCATCTCTATTATCTTCCCCTCCTACTAATGCAACTCCTCCACTTAATGGCTCTTCACTTCCTCTTCACTCTGTGTGCACTGAAAACGACGGAAAACGATTCCAAGTCTCCAACGACTGGCGTATGAAGCTCACTGGAGCTCACCGGCAGACGTATGCACAAAGGGCTTGTTGGATGTCTGGCCCCATTCAAAACGGCGTATGAACCGAACTCCGGTCACCGGCTGCCAATGGATAGTGGACTCCCTACTCCACTCCTACTGCCTTGTAGGTCACACTTGGTTGTGTAAGGGCTAGAGCTGCACTCAAACAAAAGGCCGAGCGATTCTGGGGACATCACTCGTGCCAAATTCCCATGAAACTTCATGAACTCTCTCAACAACGTCGCCTTCGGTGGTTTGGCCATGTTCTGCGCCGACCAGATGACGATCTGGTCAAATCAGTTCTAAATCTCTCGCCATTACCATCTTGGCGATGTCGCAGGGGTGGACAGCTGAAAACATGGCTTGATACAGTCAAGGCTGACATGGAGTGCCTGGGGCTACAAAACGTCTACTGACTCCGTCTGTGGAACAAGAATTGGATAACCCTGTCGCAAAACCTTGCATTAGATCGCCGTGCCTGGGCAGGGATGATTCGAGATGTTCATGAAGCCGGCTCATCCTCCCGTAGTAAAGTGAGTAAGTCATTATTTTATACGTAAGTGGCTTCAGTCTGCAGGCTTCATCAAAACGATGGATTCCAATAAACCGTCCACTGTTCATCTAAAAGTAGTGAGAGACAAATATAGACTGGTAGTGGATTCGCCACTAGGACGACCGGTGTTTGCAGAACACTTCATGACAGATTTAGAAATTATAGCGTCACGACGCAGCAACATGAACTATTCTCACGGTTTTAGATCATGCACAGATAACACCTCTTTATGTGTGACAAGCATGCTGACATCCAAATTATAATGAAGGAGCTCACTAACTTAACTGTCACCTTTGTTCCACGTTCATTTCAGAGCAAAGAATTCACTAAGAATTCAATTTTTCAATGCTTTATTTTGAAGAAGATCTAAACCTCCCAACCAAACAACAGAAAGCTGATATAAAGTGGTCGTTGTGAGAATTTTCATGGTTGAATCTCTCCAAAGACTACTCATACACAAATGGATACTCAGCATAATTCATCTGGGAAACAAGGAGTCAAATAGAAGCCCCAAATAATCTAAAGTGTCTAACTAACTGCCATTAGTAAATATTGAATTCGAGGGTGATGATACAGTAACTATTCTGAAGAACCGCCTATTCACCTCGTTGATACAAGTTTTGCCATTTGCAAGCCTACGGATACATTTCTTCAGGCGGTAAATGTTTAGTGGATGTGTAAGAGTTAGACTTGGCTTAACTTAGACCTAAATTAGTCACTCTTACAAAAACTCCTTCACCGCTTTATGACCTTAGTTGTACTCTGCCTAATGTGCAAATACTAACGAACTGGACCAAGGTAAAAAGACTCGAGATGACTAGCGTGACTGGAACAGAGTTATATTTACACAAAAACGATATGAGATTTGATAAAGAATAAGAGGGTATACACTTATCTGCAGTCGAGACGGTGGTAAGCTCGGAGAGTGTACCGGATGAAAGCACAACGAGAGAGCGAACCAAAACCGTACGGAAGATCCACGAATCGGAAGAGGAAGTGGTGTTAAAGGTCAGGTGAGTCCGTTCAAACAAAGTTCGAAGGTTCAATGTGCACTACAGATGCATGGAGTTCGAACTGTCTTGTAAGCCACTCCAGTAAGTAATTGTAAAATCGCTAGTTCCCAGGGAGCTATTTTTATCGGCATTTCGAACACTTTCTAAAACACCGAGTCGCATGATTATCTGGAGGGTAGTGAAAGTCACCTACTAGCCCGTCGAACTAATATCACGCGGATCCACAAGAGTTAGTCTTTAAACTACAAAATTTGTATGTCAAAAATAGTACTGGGGAAGCTGTGTTGTGATAGCGCGTATGACACAGGAGCTAGTGATCGGTTACTTTAACCGTGCAATTTGTGTGCAGAAAGCCTCTGCTCAGTCTGTTATTATACCATGGCCTTAACACCCTCCCTATTTGCTTATTTCTATTTTGAATAACTAATTCACTGCTTTTTGACCGAACACTAACTATTTTCATACACAGAGTCTTTTATATCTGAAAGTCGAAAGTTCTACATGGCCACCGTGCTAGTTGGCTCGCCATCACTATGCACTCAGAACTATTGTTATTAGATAGGATCCTTGGACCTACGTTTCGTGCTTCCTGGCACTCACCAGTCATCACAGCGTATCTGCAACCTTGAAGAAACTCAAATCTTTTCTGAAAAGGGACAGTTGTTACACATAGTCATGCCATTGTACAATTCTAAAAATACCGCGCTTTATTCAGAGCGTACGTTGCAAGTGGGTGCTTTTTTCACGTGTTGTGGTGTTAAGTCCTCACTAACAAACTTTAAGCGACTGGAAATAAAGAATAGTTAATCAATCACATAAATACTACATAATATACTATACTATAGTGTCTGCCTTCACCAATCCCAGCAAAGACAGCTGTCTAGACCTGATTTTATTTGGGATGACCTTTCACGGCATTCCTTGGAACTAATTGGTTCTTGAAGGTCATGTTTTAAGAGATCTTGGCTTAAGCTATGACACTTTAACTTCGCTATTCCAGAATTCCAGTAAGCGTCAAGCTAGTTATGTGTAGAGTGAATAAAGCTTATCAGTATTATTCCCTATACAAATCCCAGTTATCTCATTGTATCTTGACGATAGCAAACATAAAACTTCATGCCTGAATGTTCACTTGTGTCAGTAAGAGAGAGGTCTCAAGAAGGCGGTGTAGCTACCACAGGTGGAAAACACATTCAAAATCCCCTTCAACAATTCTCAAATAAACACTTTAGGGTGTTAGAGGGTTTAGCGGGAGAAATGCTTCGTTGAATTATAGGTCTGCTTTAAATATAATAGGGGAAAGTCATATCTCAGCATGAAATACCCTGAAAAATATTTACTTAAAGTAGATGCAAACCGAATTCGGCCGTTATTCTCCTTTGAAATTTTCTCGGAAAACTTTCAATGTGATGAAAGCGCTACAGAAATTAGGGCTTCGGTTAAAAACAAAAGGCTCTAGATGTACATCAACTTATTTTCTAGTAAGTATCTGAGATTGTCCAATACCTTCTTGAACGAATCGACTGAGTGCTTGGACACGATTTTTTGTAGGGGTCGGTTCCAAGAGTTAATGAGAGAGAGAGAACCAGTACTCCACAGAGATATAGTCTCTTTTCGGCATTTGAACTTTTATGCTTATTCCGACTTAGTAGAAAGGTGAAGTAAAAACAGATCAGTTATGTGGGCATTTCTTAGAATTTTCGATGTAATGAGATCTCTTCGCTTACGTTATAATAAAAGGTATACATCTAAGTTGTTAAGTTTTCCTGAGTATGGTAAATTGGTCATTTAGAGAATCTTACGCGTAGGGAGCATTCATTATTTAGATTTCCTTGCAGCAATTATGACTCTGTCACCCTTTAGTTCACTACAAATATTTGAGCCATTTTGCGGAGAGAGATTTAATAAGCTCAGACAGATAAACAGAGTTAATTACAGGGGGTGCTTTGTGCTACACAGTAACGTACCTCTGTTCAGGATGAAAGTTTGGGTCGTGTTTTCTGTCTCCAATCTACGAGGAATTCCTTGATCCAGCTTAGCAGGTTGCCCCCTTTCATTCCAAAACTTTCCAATTTCCTGAGCAGTCTTATGTGAAGCAATTCATTGAAAGCTTTGCTAAAATCCACGAAAACCTTGATGGGTTCCTTGTTGTCCCCAGTTGTGGCCCAGGTTTCCCCTGCTGTAAGAAGGCTTGTTAGATGCAAGAAGTTTCTTGGGAAACTATTTGTAGCGCCGAATAACAATTTGCTGTTTTATTGATATGTCATGGTCACTTTCGTGATTGTTCTTTCCACTGTCTTGATCAAGCAGCTGGTAAGACTAATAAGCTTGAAATGTGAAGGATACCACTTAGATCCTCACTTCTGAATCCTTCCAACCACACGACAACACTTCATGTGAGAGACAGCCAGGTATAAGCTCCTTCAGAAGTCTTAGGTGATTTCCCTGTGTTTAGTTTGCTCAGAAATTAGGATTCAGTGTCTTGGTCGACGTCGATACTACATAGTCTGTTTCCTGGTAGTGTGACCAGAACTGAAGATATAGCTGGAGGTGGTTTATGTACAAACAGCTTCTCTCATCCTCTTTGATCGTACCTGTGTCAGTAATCCCGTTTGGCACTCCGTTTGAGTTCTTATTCCTAAGGTTTCTGTAGTAAGATAGTTTCTTGAGTTGTACCGTTGTATTTTGAGACACATGCGCGTTGAATTTTTTTTCTGTGACTAGTGAATTCGTGCAGTGGTTTTTTTATACTGCTGCATAAAGCTTCCGGGGATTTGCTGCACCGAGCATGTTAAACACGTAGCCCTATTTTTAAGGGTTGGGTTACTCAAATGTTTATTTGCTTGGATTGACCCCACGCAGCTTCCACACGACTTTCCTACTTTATACTCCAGTCGATTAATGAGACTAGAAATAATGGTATTTATATTGGTTTCCCATACGGTTCATCAAGCTAGGGTATTGACCTGGGATACTGCAGCAGCTATCAACCTTAAAGTGAGCACAGCGTGACCACTCTTCCCTATGTATTCTTCACAATTTGTCAGGTCATACATTTACCTTGGTGTACTTTAACAGTATTAAACTGAAATTTCTGTATAGCATAGTGTATTTCGCTTAGAAGCGAACAGTATTGCTGGACACTGACGTCATTGTCACTTGTGAAAAGTAAATTAAAGACAGAGGTATTAAAAAGTTGTAACCATTGACTGTAAGAATGCACTGACGAGTATCGGAGGTGTTGAAGTTCCTCATACCTTAAAGCTAGACGAGTTACTTTTTGTGTCTACTGTCAAACGTTCTTAGTTAACTTTAATGCATTGAATCCATCTACAACTGGAAATCTGCATTAGACGTTTTTATTTCATATAACATAAAGTTATCGAAGCCATATTGTGGGTTACAGCATTTTGAATTAGTTTTTTTTTCTCTGAGCTGGTCGATTTAATTGCTAAGCTTTCGTCATCCTTTTGAACAACATTTTCAGCGCATGTTTTAGTATAAAATGAGCTCATTTGAATTCTCCCCCCCCCCATGAATGATGTAATTCTATCTCCTGGTAACCATCTTCGTGATTGGTAGTGGATTTACATCTCTCTTGATCACTGTTTATTGACTTAGGATTTGAACTTTTTTGTCACGTGATTTACTTTTTATGGGCTGATAAATTTTGTCTATTATTAATATGTTTGTTAATCGCTTGGAGATTCACTTGACTACCAGGCTTCTAGAAATTCGCTGGTACTTTTGATGTTCCCTCTGTTAAAAATTTTTACATCATCCCAATCAAATTGGTGTCCATAGTTATCTACATGCATTGATATTAAGGAATATATATATATATCATACCTTTTTACAGCCAGCTTGTGTTCTTAGATTCGGATTCGAACAGTGTACTACGACCCAATCAACATCTTATCCTCGGCAGTGTATGATATCATGCAATTGACCATTGACTATAATTGTGTGTATATCTCGTACAGACTAAGTAGATAATGTTTGGTACTAATATGCCAGCTGAATGCTGCTGCTGCTGCTGGATTCAACATGGAACTTGGCACCGAAGTGCAGCAGTTTGAGTTGCCACGTTCCAAATACCACACAAAGGTAGACAAGAAAATGAGAGAAGAGAATCAATAGAATTTAGGTAAGTATAAAAGTGAAACAGAATGAGTAATGGTAGAAAGGAATATGAAAGATTACAGAGACTGAATACATCTGCGTAAGCCATTAACAACGATTTTGAGCCATGTCACCTATTGTCTCCAGCCATTGATTCTTAGAGTCCCGAGGGCGGGCCCCAACCCGGAAGTCTGCATCTCTCTCCCTACCTGACTCAGTTTAACTGTCAGGGATTTCATGGATTGATGAGGCCATGTTTTTGTTTGGCCACCACTTACTCTTTTCCAACCCGCACCTATATCAGCTAGTAATGCCCGTCCGTCGGGGGAGGCGATGGCTAGGCATGCGCAGCACGTGACCTAACCATCTCAATCTATGTAACTTCATAGCCTCTTCGATTGATTTTCCCTCTTTGCCCAACACTCTACGCCTAACGTCAACGTTACTTACCTTACTATACCACCTAACGCGAGAAAGAGATCGTAAACATCTGTGATCAAAAACAGACAATCTCTTCATGTCTTCCGCTCTCAGTGGCCACGTCTCACTACCATAGAGAAGGACGGAGCGAACTGCTGAGCAGTATACACGTCCCTTAGTTGATAGCCGAATGTCACGCCTACGCCAGAGACGGTGTAAGTTAGCGAAAGGAGCCCGAGCTTTTCGGATCCGTGCTGAGATTTCGTCACTAATCAATCCGTTGGTGCTGATACAACTTCCCAAATAGGTGAAGTGGTCAACATGTTCTATCACTTCACTCCCTATCACTAAGCTAGGAGTTGACGTAGTCCAGTCCTGTAGCAGCATCTTACATTTTACAGGGGCGAATCGTATGCCAAACATACGAAGATTGCTGCTCAAGGTGTTCAGAAGACTCTGCGTATTCTAAGTCTATAAGACTATTCCCTGGTAACAAGTCGATTCCTAAGTGGTTAAGTTCAGTTAAGGATACTTCCATTAGCATATCTATGATGAAGTTAAACAGAAAAGGGGAAAGTGGACATCCTTGATGGACACCACTGGTTGTTATCAATTCAGATGACAATTCCCCATAAGCCCTTACACAGCTACGTGAGTTTGAGTAGAGTGCCTTGATTAGTGCAATGTACTTTCTTGGCACTCCCTTCATAGTGAAACATTGCCATAGTACCTCTCGATCCACGGAGTCGAAGGCCGCCTTCAGGTCAAGGAATATGGCAATTGTTGGACGCCTCAAAGTGTGTCTATGTTCTAGGATCTGTCGGAGAGTGGAGATATGATCTATGCACCCTCTACCTGGCCTAAAGCCCGCTTGATTTTCCCTCGTTTGTTCCTCCCGAGTTCGGCTTAGTCTATGCATGATTACTGAGCCTAGGATTTTAGAGACTATGTTCGTTAGGCTGATTCCTCTATGATTATCACATGAGGACTTGTCTCCCTTCTTGAATATTGGTATAATAAGTGACTTACCCCAGTCTGATGGAACCGTCTCTGATTCCCAGACGTTACCTAGTACCTTAGTTATGACAGCTGAATGGAGCAAAGTCTTTTCAAAGTCACTTTGTTGCTGCTGATTTTAGATATAAGACAGGTCTAGGTGACAGCAAATTTTGGAATCAAGTGAATTTATTAACTCTTTTGTGTTTGAGTTTTAGAAAAGTGTTTTTTTTTTACTTGACCTGTCTTCTTAAACGTAGTATACGCTCATCAACTCCTCACTTAATGCTATAGGGGGAGGCAAACATATATCTATCCATGAAATCTCTGGTGGTTAGTTTATTCCAGTTATGTAGGAAAGTGTACACTGTCTGGCTTTGGTCCTAGAGATTCTCAAAACCAATGAAGACTGAAGACGATTGTTGATATGGCTCGGCAGGGCAGAAGTATTCACTCTGTGTATACTTCTATACCTATTAAACCCTGTTGTTTACGCATGCCATTATTCCTTTTTTCTCTCTCTTCCACTCACATTTCTGCTCATTATCGTTTTTTTTGAATTTCTTTTTCTGTTTGTCTTTTGTCTTCCTTTAAGTGATACTTAAACTCCTTTACTTCAATACTAAGTTCCATATTGAAATCGGTGAGTCACTTCCAGTCATAATAATAGCAATGATAATAATAATGGTCCCATCAATAACAAGCATGAAAAAGTCAGGCGATCTGTGACAACAAGAATAACGAAAAACAACATGAATAAACAAGCAAATGTTCAGGTTGACATTATATTATTGTATTATTATTGTTCCCTTGGGTTCCTAGTGGAACATAGGGCTTCAACTGCACGCCTCCACTTGCTTCTGTCTTCTGCTGTATTTTTCACTTGCATCCATGTTAATCCATACTGTTTCAGCTCCTCTTCACACGATCTCCTTCATGTCACCCTTGGACGTCCCACTCGCCGCTTCCCTTTCGGGTTCCACTCGAGCACTGGCCTGACGCGCGATGTCACCCAACGGCCTCCTCAGCGAGTGTCCAATCCATCTCCATTTTCTCCTGCATATTTGTTGAGCGATTAGTTCTTGTTTTGTTTGTCCCCATAGTTTCTTGTTGGTTCTTGTTCTTTCCGGCCATCTGATCTTCAGTATAGAGCCATGGAAGACAGCTGTTGATAAAGGTCTGCAACAGGCTGTTGGAAATATTCTTTGTGACCCGCCAAGTTTCTGATCCGTATAGAAGAACTGACTTGACATAGTAGTCGATAAATGCTAAGAAAAACCAAGTGAACCGATTAAATAGTGCTATATTGATTGTAAAGGAAGTAAATAAAATACGTTTTAATGAAGATGTGATAAGATTAAGGGGTGATAGGAGGGTGGGGTTTAAAATATAAGTAAGGAGTGGTGGGGGGTGATATTATCAATTGGTTAGGCCAACAAGGGCGGGATAATGACTGTACAAACTCCTTTTGCATGCATAGTTTAGGCTTAATAGTTCAAATGCCTATCGCCTCAGTTGTGTGCAGTAGACAAATACGAAGTCTATTGGAAAGATTCGGTGGGATACGATGAATTACCTTGAAAGCTCTCGTTTTCTCCACTACATGACCACTACTATCAACTAAATGTGACGAAATGGAGATACGGATTGTTTTTGTTTGTCCTTTGCCAAACCACGTTGGCTAAGCTTACTTGCAAAGAGGAGCAGGATATTAAACTACATTTTCTGGATTTCTCGCTAAGTAGACGAGAAGATGGCTCACTTGGGAAAAGCGTGTATGCAGGTATAATCTACCACAGTGCCCAAGTTTTATCCTTATACCTTTATCGACTACTACGTCTACCTGAATATTTGTTTGTTCGTTTAATCATGACGTTTTTCATCAGTATTCTTGTTATCACAGATTGCCTCACTTTTTCAATCTTGTTATTGATAAAACCATTGTTAGTACCACTACTATTATTATGACTAATTGCACAATCTATACGCACCATCTTATTATCCTATAGACAAAACACCATAATTGGTTTACATTTGACTTTTTATTTGCAAAGTTATGTAGGCATATTAGAGTTAATAATTTAAATAATTCCCATTGTAGCATTAAGAACACAACATTATTCAACGAAGAGACTCTTTTCAACGAATTTATCATCAAACTGTACAATCGTATATATATATGGTTTTTAAGAAATTATATCCGGTGAGGGAGTTAGATCAAAGCTGTGGATACCTGAAATAATAATAAAAGTATGAAATGCAATTAAAATATTTGTGATTATAATCATAGTTTAATGTCAAGTGGCAAAAGAATTAACGTTATATATAGAATAATACATAAGGTGCATAGATTCTGGAAAGGGGTACATAATTATAAGATTAGTAGGCGAATGTAAAATGGTGTTAAATTTGATAAGATAGAATTCAATATTGTAAAAAATAAAAATATAAAAATAATAATTTTGGGTTTAAGATATCAAGTGGGTCGAATGGAAAAGATTCAGAGTGAGAATAGTAATAATAATAACGATAATAATAAGAATAATAATAATCGTAGTAATAAGGAGAGGTACATAGAATAACTAAATAAATAAATGTGTATCCCTCGACGGCCATGGCAGAAGTAGGGATTGCACATACTTCTTTTGTACACAAAGGTCTGACTGGCTTAAAGTCATGAATTGCCAAGGCCTTAGCTGTCTTTAGGTGTCTGTAAACGAAGAAAACGCGGGAAGTTAGCATGGATTCTGTAGATGATCTTAAAATCATGGTCAGGGTTGACAGCTTGATAATAAATTCGTTGAAAAGAGTCTCTTCACTGAATATTGTGTTCTTAATATTACAGTTAAGCCTGATGATGAGATCGAATTGAAAACATGTTATAATTATCAAAGACAATTTCAGTTTAAGATTTAATATCCTCTTTGTATGCCTTAAAAGTATTTGCAATTCATTAAACATAATGTATCATTCTGGTTCAGACACTGTCTTCACTTACCTTGACCATTTAGGTTCGAATGATCTTCAACATGTTTTGTAGGAATTTCCTTAATTTAACGAGGTGGCTTTCAAAGTCATCTACCGTATACCAATTAATCTTAAATTCATCTTAAGAGTTCGTCTATTACACATATTGCTGAGGCTGACTGTTGGGATGCATATCAAGAAACCCAACTTCACTCTCCGACAGATCCTAGAACATAGACACACTTTTAGGCGTCCAACAATTGCCATATTTCTTGACTTGAAGGCGGCCTTCGACTCCGTGGATCGAGAGGTACTATGGCAATGTTTGACTGTGAAGGGAGTGCCAAGAAAGTACATTGCACTAATCAAGGCACTCTACTCAAACTCACGTAGCCGTGTAAGGGTTTATGGGGAATTGTCATCCGAATTGATAACAACCAGTGGTGTCCGTCAAGGATGTCCACTTTACCCATTTCTGTTCAACTTCATCATAGATATGCTGATGAAAGTATCCTTAACTGAACTTAACGACTTAGGAATCGACTTGTTACCAGGGAATAGTCTTATGGACTTAGAATATGCAAATGACATAGTCCTGTTAGGGGAGGATGCTGACAAAATAGAGCAGAGTCTTCTGAACACCTTGAGCAGCAATCTTCGTATGTTTGGCATGCGATTCGCCCCTGTAAAATGTAAGATGCTGCTACAGGACTGGACTACGTCAACTCCTAGCTTAGTGATAGGGAGTGAAGTGATAGAACATGTTGACTACTTCACCTATTTGGGAAGTTGCATCAGCACTAACGGACTGATTGGCGACGAAATTTCAGCACGGATCCAAAAAGCTCGGGCTGCTTTCGCTAACTTACACCGTCTCTAGCGTAGACGTGACATCCGATTATCAACCAAGGGATGTGTGTACTGCTCAGCAGTTCGCTCCGTCCTTCTCTATGGTAGTGAGACGTGGCCATTGAGAGCGGAAGACATGAAGAGATTGTCTATTTTTGACCACAGATGTTTACGATCTCTTTCTCACGTTAGGTGGTATAATAAGGTAAGTAATGTTGACGTTAGGCGTAGAGTGTTAGGCAAAGAGGGAAAATCAACCGAAGAGGCTATAAAGTTACATAGATTGAGATGGCTAGGTCACATGCTGCGCATGCCTAACCATCGCCCCCCCCCCCGACGGACGGGCATTACTAGCTGATATAGGTGCAGGATGGAAAAGAGTAAGTGGTGACCAAACAAAAACATGGCCTCATCAATCCATGAAATCCTTAACAGTTACACTGAGTCAGGTAGGGAGATGCAGACTTCTGGGTCGGGGCCCTCGGGACTCTAAGAATCAATGGCTGGAGACAATAGGTGACATGGCTCAAAATCGTTGTCAATGGCTTACGCAGATGTATTCAGTCTCTTTAACCTTCATATTCCTTTCTACCATTACTCATTCTGTTTCACTCTTATACTTGTCAAAACTCTATTGATTCTCCTTTCTCATTTTCTTGTCTACCTTTGTGTGGTATTTGGAACATGGCAACTCGAACTGCTGCACTTCGGTGCCAAGTTCTATGTTGAATCCAGCAGCAGCAACTTATGTATGTATCCAAACGAAAGCTAGTTGGTTCAGACACTGTCCTTACTTACCTTGACCATCAAGGTTCTAATGATCCTTAATTTGTTATTGTGGAGATTTCCTTAATTTTATTTAATATTCTATTTGGCATTCCATTTTTATGCTTATTATTATTATTATAATTTATGCATTTTTCATGAACTGTAGTAATTTCATTGTGAACTTGACAAATCGATAATGTTGTTATTGTTTTTTTTAATTTTTATTTTATAGAAAAATTCAGGTTTCCACTGCTCTGTTAACTCCATGATAATGAGCTAATCGTCATTCATCAAGGATATTATTAATATTATTATTATTAAAGTAAAATGACTAAACATAAAGGTATTCATCGGATAATATTTTCTATCGATCTGGTTTAAATTATTGATTTTTTTTAAGCCCGTAAATCTACCAGTCGTCAGAAAAAGTATCAAGAAGTTGTCCAATCTCGGATAGTCAACAAAACTCCGGTGCAGTATACACGTCGGCTAAAAACTAACAAGCATAAGAAGCTTAAGAATATCGGTGTGCACAATACAAACCTGAGTATGTTTTCTCTTATTTTTCTGTTCCTTATTTTTTCACTCAGAATCCTGTAATCGTCCACCTGGACCAAATGAAGATGATTATGTTCCTGCAAGTTTTAAAGAAATGCTACTTATGAAAGAAGGAAAGTGGAAGTCGCCTCTTGATCCGGGTAATGTTTACAGATATTAAGAAGAGGAAAAAAAAAGAAAATTGAGCAGCAAAGAATATCCTTTTCGATAATTTCACTTTTCCAGGCTCTACAATTATATATACATATGTTTATATACACAGAATATTCTAGGATAGTCGTCATTAACAATATTGGTGTCATTTAAATGCTATCGATTTGTTAAGTAAGATCACAATGGAATTACAATTCACGAAAGATGTATAAGTCGGTGGCGCAGCAATACAATGCTCGTCGACCACGCATATGGTCCGGGATTTGACCCCAGGCCGACGCACTCCTTCACCTCGCTAAGCCAGTAATAAGACTGGTAAAGAAGGGGAAGGTTGGGCATTAGGCTGGCTAGTAACTTCATCCCGTAAAAAAAAATAGACACTCCTGCTACCGAAACTTCAAGCCTCTAGCTTGAAGGCGGTCTATGTTCCACTGGGTACGTAAAGGAATAAAAAAATAGTAAAAATGGATGCATAAGTTATAATAATAAGCATAAAAATGTAAATAGAATATCAAATAAAATTAAACAATAAATAATTAAGCAAAGGATATCCTTTTCGATAATTTCCCCTTCTGGCTCTTTTGAAAGTGTGTGGGCGGTTGTTACTTCCCGGCTGCCCACATCGTGGAAGTTGCTTGATTCTTCGGGTACCTGAAACAGAGAGAGGGTTAGTGTTGCGTGACCGCAGAGCCCAGGGGACAACTGCTTGATGCTGGCCGGTCACACACGGCCTGTATGAACTGGTTTCTTGGATTGGTTCCGTATTAGTAAACTTACCACCGGTTACGGACTACCATCGTAGGGTAAGTCGCCCTCAGACTCCCAGCATAGTGTAAGGGAGATTCTTACAGAAGGGCGGTAACTGCTTTTAGTCTAATCGCTATCCTAACAACCTTCCTAGCATGGTAGGATCTGCAGGAACATTGATTCTAGCCAGTGTAGCTTGTTGGGTCATCGCGATGTGCAAGCCCGACCACCACGTCAAGGTAGCAGCTATCGGTCATGGCACCAGTCAATGAAATCCACAACAGTTAGTTTAAGCCAGCCAGTCACCTAGGAAGGTGTAGACTTCCTGTTTGGGGTCCTCGGGACGGTAAAAACCAATGGCTGGAAACAATTGGTAATATAGCTCAAAATCGTCCTCAGTGGCGAAGATGCATCCACTCCTTGTGACTTATGATTTCCAATGAAACTATATTGTTCTTCGTTATTACTATTCCTTTGTCTCACACCTCTGTTTACTGTCTCTATTATGCATTCCCTGTTACTTTCTTCTCTTGTTTGTGTGCTACAAGGAGGGAATGTGGTGACTTGAACTGCTGCACATCGGTGCAAAGTTCTATGTCGAAAACAGACAGATAGCCTTCTGGCCCTACAATTATATATGTTTACATGTACGGAATATTCTAAGTTAGTAGTCAATAACAATATTAGTGTCCTTGAAATACAAACGCAATCTAATAAAGTGCTTAGTCTGCCACAGAGCAAGAGCAATCTACTCGGATGAATGTCTTGATGAGCAACTTAATAATATTAAACGGTTGCTAAGTGAAAATGGTTATCCTGAAAAGTTTATTGATAAGAATATGAATCTAAAATCAGAGCAGCCCAAGGTATCAACACTTCCTAATAAGGCCTTATTCTTACAAGTACAGTTTCTGGGAGACAACATCCACGAGGTACTAACACAGCGCCTTAGGAATGCGGAAAAAGAACATTTCCTGCTGCTGAATTACACTATGTCTTCAAAACCACTCCTCTTTTGCGTTCGGAAGTAAGAGATAAACTGCCTAATTTCGCCTTTTCCATGTGTGTCTACCAATTTAACTGCTCCTGTGGAGTGAGCCCGTTACATAGGCCGTACAATTAGGCGTGTTTCTCGTCGGATTTCTGAACATCACTCTGCATGGTGGTTAAGTAAAGGATAAACAAAATCTATTCGTAGCGCTATTCTATCTCATCTTGTGGATACCAAACACAAGATTGACGTTAACCATGCTTTCAGGGTCATTTACCGCATACCTACGAATCTCAATTCCGCCTTAAGAGTGTGACTACTAAATATTGCGGAAGCTGGCTGTTGGGATCCATATTAACAAGCCTAATTTGTGCATCCAAAAGAAGTTAGTTCAGACATTGTCCTTACCTTGGTCATCTAGGTTTGAATGATCCTGAATTTTTGTGGAATTTTCCTAATTTTAGTTGATATTCTATTTGCTACTATATCTTTATTATTATTAAAATTTAAGTATCTTTAGTGAACTGTAATTCCATTGTGATCTTACTTTACAAATTGATATTATTTATAAAACACTAATATTGTTATTGACTACTATTCTAGAATATTCTATGTATATAAGCATATATATATATATATATACATATATAATTGTAGAGCCAGAATGTGAAATTATCGAAACGGATATTCTTTGCTCAATTATTTTGTGTTTTATAGATGTCTGAATGAATATTTTCGCTATATTGAAATAAAATTCAGGAAATTTCTACAACAAACTGAGGATCATTTAAACTTTGATGGTCAAGGTAAGTAAGGATAGTGTCTGAACCAACTAGCTTTCTTTTGGATACATAAGTCGGGTTTCCTAATGTGGATCCCAACAACCAGCCTCAGCAATATGTGTAATAAACGAACTCTTAAGGTAAAGTTAAGACAAGTTAGTATGCGGTATATGACTTTGAAAGCCACCTTGTTAACATCAATCTTGCGTTCTGTAGCCACAAGATGAAATAGTATAGAGCTTGAATGGGTTCTGTTTGTTCTTTACTTAACGACGCAGGATGGTATCCAGCAATCTGACTATAAAAGCTCATCATTCTGCGTGGTTAGGTAAAGGACAAACAAAATCCATCCATAGCTTTATTCTATCTCATCTTGCAGATACAGAACACAAGATTGATGTCAACGAGGCAGCTTTCGAAGTCATACACCTCATACCGACATATCTTAACTTCGCCGTAGGAGTTCGTCTATTACAAATATTGCTGAGGCTGGCTGTTTGGATCCACATTAGGAAACCTAACTTATGTATGTATCCAAAAGAAAGCTAGTTGGTTCAGACACCCTCCATACTTACCTTGACCATCAAAGTTTTAATGATCCTCAGCTTGTTGTGGAAATTTCCTTAATTTTATTTGATATTCTATTTGGCATTCCATTTTTATGCTTATTATTATAATCTATGCATCTTTCATGAACTGTGGTAATTTCATTGTGAACTTGACAAATCGATAATATTTAAAAAAAACACCGATGTTGTTAATAACGATTATTCTAGAATATTCTATGGACACTAGTAACTAGTGTGACGTGTCTAGTCCTTTCGTTGTTTGGTGCAGACTGAATTCTATCAGTCAGGTATTTGCAATGTGGTCACCATGCCGCATGGTTGTTCGCCATCACGGTGCACACATTGATTTGACGATATTAGATAGTTGGAGGCAATCGACAGGAAGCCTTGGTTCTAGGTCAGTCGCGAGCCCGAATAGCTAGCTAGCTCAGTGGTAACGTCTCTGACTGCAGCACTCACTGGGTGACGCGGGTTCGGATCTCAGAAGGAGGGACATGAGTTCTTTCAAGGCGGTCGCAGATACGCCTTGCTGACGAGTGCCAACTAGCACGAAACCTAGGTCAGGCAATGCTTCCTGTGGCTGATTACCTCCAACTATCTAATATTCTATGTGTATATTATTATTATTATTATTGTATCCTTTAATTCCTACAGGAACAGGGCTTCAGCCGTGCGTCTCCATTGCGTTCTGTTCTCTGCTAGGGTCTTCACCTGGCTCCAAGTCTGCCCACACGTTTTCATCTCCTCTTCACATGACCTCCTCCAAGTCACCCTCACCCTTGCACTGACGACCAACTCGCCGCTTCCCTTTCGGCCAGGTTCCACTCGAGCAATGGCTTGTCTAGTGATGTCACTCACTTGATGGTTCCCTCAGAGTATGGCCAGCCAATCCATCTCCATTTCTTCCTGCCTATTTGTTTCACAATCGGTTCCTGGTTGGTTCGTTCCCAAAGATCCTTGTTGCTGATCTTTTCTGGCCATCTGATCTTGAGTGGTGTTGAGCGAAGACAACTGTTAATGAAGGTCTGTAGTTTGTTTGAGATGCTCTTTATGACGCGCAGTGCAAGTCTCTGATCCGTATAGTGAGTAGCACTGACTTCACATTGGAGTTGAAAATCCGGACCTTATTTTGGATGCTGAATAGTTCTGTTGACCTCCATACAGACCTGAGAGTAGTGAAAGCTTGTCTTGCCTTTCCGATCCTTGCTTTGATATCCTCGTCAGTTCCGCTGGCCTGTAGTTGAAACGATGCTTCCCAGGTAGGTAAGTGAAGGAGGTTGTTTCTTTCAGGTTCCTCCCATTTATGCTGATTGTTGTCAGTTGTTGTTGTTGCTGTTGGTGGTGTTGCCCAGGAATTTTCACCACCTCTGTTTTATCTGTGTTCACCTGAAATCCTATCTTTGATGCTTCTTCTGCTAACTTGTTGCTTTTCGCTTGCATATCTTCCAGTTTGTGGAAAATCAGATATATATCATCGGCGAAGTCCAGATCCTCCAAGTTTTTGTGTGTGTCCATTTTATGCCTGTTTCCTCATTGCCCACTGTTTGTCGCATTATCCAGTCTACTGCAATCAAGAAAATCATTGGTGATAGTAGGCAGCCAGCTTGTCTTACTCCTGTCCTCACTTCGAAGGGTTCCGTAAGTTTCTCATTGTGGATTACTTGGCATGCAGCATTGTCGTATAGCTGTTGGATGAGATGTATAATTGTCGGTGGCACCCCTTGGTAGTAGCAAAGTAGTTTCCAAATCACCTCTCGATCGACGCTGTCAAAGGCCTTTTCAAAGTCGATGAAGTTGAGATAGAGAGGTGACTGCCATTTCAGGCTTTGTTCAATGATGATCCGTAGTGTGGCGATCTGGTATGTGTATATTAACAATACATATAATTGTAGAGCGAGAAGAGAAAATTATTGAAAAGGATATTCTTTGCTCAATTTTTTTAAATTTCTTGTTTCTAAATGTCTGAATGAATATTTTCTCTATATATAACAACTAATTATTATTATTATTATATGAATTCTAGCTGTCGGAGATACAAAAGGCATGAGAAAGAAAGACGATCCTGTTCCTGTGCTGAAACAAGGCAAATATGAATCGGATGCTCATTACCTGGGACGAGTTCACAAGGAAGTTGAAGATGAATTGAACAGAGTGGAATTTGCAAGGAAGCAAAAAGTAACACCTGTATGAATTACTGATCGAATTCTTTTTTTTATTATTTTAAAATAGGCAGAGCTGATTACTACAGAAGTTAAAAAGAGTAAGAAGAAAAAGAAAGCAGTGAGGTAATGTCATGCGTGCACGCACACATTTTCGCATTTTTATGTGAGAAAAGACGATTGACAGACAGCAGTGAAGCAAAACTTTCTTCTTAGATGAAGTCATCGACTAGACTGTGCATTTGTGTATATATACATGTGGTTATTAATATATATTATTCCCTTGGGTTCTGAGTCCCGGCCGATAACTGCTACCTTGCCGTGGTGGTCGGGCTTGAATGCCGCAGTGACCCAACAAGCTAAACTGGCTGGGACTCATGTCCCTGCTGGTCCTACCATGCCAGGAAGGTTGTTTGGATAGCGGTTAGACTAAAAGCAGTTACCATGGGGTACATGGGCTCCAGAATCCATTCGGATCAAATGGCGTATGAACCCATATGGGTCACCGGCAACCATGGGAACTCAGTACCTGACGCTGCTCCGCTGCCTTGCGGATTAGACTCCAAGTCAAAGGCTCGGGGGGTGGTCCCTTAAGAAAACCACCTGCTTCGGTCTGGGCGCCCGGGCATTATCTCAGCCCTCACACAATTAATTAAATGAAGCAACAAACTATCAGTGAAACTCATCGCGCGCTCTTAACAATGCTCTCAAGCAATAATGATGTCCTAGTTGATATATCTCTTTCCAACCTTACTTTTATTTTTATACTTAGTTTCCTGTATTTTACCTTTGCTCACCTTGACTTCTTAACCTTCGACAGCCTTTCGCCTTTGTTTGGATTCCTAGCTTATCTGTGTCGTGTCGAGATGTTAGTGAGTAACCCTCAAAATGGCTGTCCCCAATGTAACATCTAACACAGATATCCTGAAACCGCGTGCCGCGTTCAAGCTGGCCACCTACAATGTTCGGACGCTGATGCAAATCGGACAACAGGCAGGGTTGGCAAGAACGTTGGAAAGCCTCGCTATCGATGTCTGCTGCATTTCGGAGACTCGCATTCAAGATCCCAGTGAAGTGCTTCGATTATCCTCTCCATCTGGAAGTTCTAGTAGTATGTACCACCTGCGCTTGTCCGGGGACTCTGTAGCGTCGGCATCCGGCGTAGCTGGTGTCGGTGTCGCACTGAGCGCTAGAGCCGAAGCTGCACTGCTCGACTGGATTCCCATTAACAGTCGTTTATGTGCTGTGAGGCTGGAAGGTTATACGAAAGTAAGGAGTAGTAGGCCAGATAGGCGCACATTTACGCATTTTTATGTGAGAAAAGACGGTTGACAGATGGGAGCGAGGCGAAAAATTTCCTTTTCAACGAAGTCATCAATTAGACTGTGCATTTGTGTATATATATGTAGTTACTATATTATTATTCCCTTGGGTTCTAAGTGGAACATAGGAGACTTCAACAACACATCTCCACTTTATTCTATTCTCTCTGCTGTCCTCTTCAGCTGGCTGGCACCAAGATTGTGCATAATCTCTCATCCCCCCTCCATCTTGCACGATCTCATCAAAGTCACTGATGACCCATTCGTCGCTTCCCACTGTGAGATTATTCCATTGGAGCATTCATTGGCTAGCACTGCGCGCGATGTCATTCGACGGCTTCCTCAGTGGCGTATGCATGATCAATTCGTCTCCACATTCTCCTACATATCCACTTGTTGAACGATCGGCTCTTGCCTGTTGGTTTGTTTATCGCCAGAGTTTCTTGTTACTGATTCTTTGTAACCATTTGATTTTTAAAACACAAAGGTAATTGAGCAAAGAATATCCTTTTCGATAATTTCCCCCTCTTCTGGCTCTACAATAATATATACATATGTTTATATACATAGAATATTCTAGATTAGTAGTCAATAACAATATTAGTGTTTTATAAATAATATCGATTTGTAAAGTAAGATCACAATGGAATTACAATTCACTAAAGATACTTAAATTATAATAATAATAAAGATATAGTAGCAAATAGAATATCAACTAAAATTAGGAAAATTCCACAAAAATTCATGATCATTGAAACCTGGATGACCAACGGGGTAAGGATAATGTCTGAACTAACTTCTTTTGGATGCACAAATTAGGCTTGTTAATATGGATCCCAACAGCCTGCCTCAGCAATATTTAGTAGTCGAAGTCTTAAGGCGAAATTGAGATTCGCAGGTATGCGGTAAATGACCCTGAAAGCATGGTTAACGTCAATCTTGTGTTCTGTATCCACAAGATGAGACAGAATAGCGCTGTGAATAGATTTTGTTTGTCCTTTACTTAACCAGCATGCAGAGTGATGTTTAGAAATCCGACGAGAAACACGCCTAATTGTACGGCCTGTGTAACTGGGCTGACTCCACAGGAGCAGCTAAATTGGTAGACACACATGGAAGAGGCGGAATTAGGCAGTTTATCTTTTACTCCCGAACGCAAAAGAGGAGTGGTACTGAAGACGCAGCGTAATTCAGCAGCAGGGAATGCTCTCCATTTTACCGCATTCCTAAGGCATTGTCTTAGTATCTCGCTGATGTTGTCTTTAAGGAAATGCATTTGTAAGAATAAGGTCTTTTCAGGAATTGTTGGTACTTTGGGCTACTTTGATTTCAGATTCATACTTTCATCAATAAACTTTTCTGGATAACCGTTTTCACTCAGCAACCATTTAATATTATTATGTTCCTCATCAAGACATTCATCCGAGTAGATTGCTCTTGCTCTGTGGCAAATAAAGCACTTTATCAGATTGCGTTTGTATTTCAAGAGCACGAAGCTGAAAAAATGAGTATACTGACAGTCAGTTGATGTAGGTTTTCTGTATACACTACTTCTTATTGCGCCATCCTCTTTTCTTGTCATAAGGACGTCTAGAGATAAAATACTAGAGTCTTTTTCTTCCTACCAGTGAAGTGTGCAGCTGTTTATAAAAGTCGGAGGCGGAGGCTGGCTGTTTGAAATCCGTTTCTCGTGACACACGCGTGTCAAGTTTCTGACCCGTATTAAAAAAGGACCGACTGACTTCAGATTTGTGTTTAAAAACTGGATCTTGTTGTTTATGCCTAGCTAAACTAGCTTGTTAGTTTTCTAGCCGGTTCTAAGTCTGAGTAAAGAGGGAGGATTAGGCGTGGGGCTCGTGACCCACCCTGCACCACAAAAGCTATCAAACTGCTAGAGAAACTTCAACACACAAATAAAATATTAAAAATAAACAAATTTATATTTAGTAAATGGGTGAAAAAGTTCAAAATCTATTTCCTGTCAAGGGTCAAACTAATTAAAATGTGATAATAACACCAATTAACAGGAAGTTTAGATAAGAGAGGTAGTAGAATAATGACTATTGAGATAACTGACTGTTATTTATAATGACTATGGTAATGATAAAGGTTGGATGTATTTCTTTTGTATGCGTATTGTGCGCTTGAACTTGCCTTGATCTCACTGCCTTTTGAGAAGTTAGATCGGATCGTGTATTATGAATTTGAAGGACTTTCCGAATAGAGCTGAATGTTAAACACATTTTTACGTTGTGACTTTATTAGGTAGTCAGGCTGGATAATGTTCCTGAACATCCGATGAACTTAGGACATCCAACTCCCTTTAAAACATCCTTTAAAGTGTTCTATACAATGATCCCATCAAACCTCTTAAAGGCAGTGAAATCAAGGCATTTAGGCATATCTGGAGCCATTAGCAATCCAAACTTTCAAGCCCACGTTATGTATTCAAAAGAAATACATCCAACTGTTATTGTCTATTCTATGGTTATCATAAAAAGTCAAGTTCTCTCAATAATGATTATCCCACTAGCCTTCTAATCCGATCTTTCTGTTTATTTCTGGTATTTTTTTTTTACATTTTTCAATCCCTGTATGCACTATTATGCTTTTTTATCCGGACTTCCTTCCTGGCTGTTTTGTTATTCTTTAACGAACAAAATATTCTCATATTGAGTCATAAGAAAACGGAGACGTAAACAGTGAAGAAAATCTCCTTTTCGACGATTCATTGTCATAAGCTGTGCTGTACAATAATCGTAATTATATTTAATGAGGAATTCATAAGCCCAATTAGATACTGGTAAAATTTGCCCCAGAAAAAAGATTACATAATGTAAGGTGTAACGTAGAAGGGAATGGCTCGCCCTACGGTGGCCAGAGTAATGTTCTTACCATAATTTTCCGTCATTTTATTATGTAAGTTTACTATTATTATTACTAATATTATTGTTATTCTCATCACCCTTATATTATTATCACTCTATTATTGTTTACTAATAACATTGCATTTCCATATACATTTTATAAAAACATTTTTGATTGGACACTGGTCAGTACAACTAGTGTTATGTGTCTAGTCTTATCTTTGATGTAGACTGGATTCTATCAGTCAAGTTTGCAATGTGGCCACCATGCCACCAGGTGGCTCGCAATCACGGTGAACTGTAAATATTTGGTATGTCACTAGTTACTGACTAGTATTCAATAAAGTTCTACAGGAGGTCATTGGCGAGCCCGAATAGCTAGCTCAATGGTAACGTCTCCGACTGCAAAGCTCACTCGGTGAGGCGGGTTCGAATCTCAAAAGGGATATGAGTTCCTTCAAGGCAGTTGCAGATACGCCTTGCTGACTGACTGACTGGTGAGTGCCAACTAGCACAAAACCTAGATGAGGCAAAGGTTCCTGCCGATTACCTCCAACTATCTAATACCAACAATTTTATGAAAACATTTTATCAACGTTCCACTAGTTTCTGTCCCCTCTACACGATTATGCTGATTAGTCATTTTCTCACATTTATTACGTCATCCTAGCTTTTGTCTCCCACTTGTGCTAATTTCCAATTAGTCGTCCCCGTCTAGACTACACCTTACATTATGTAATCTTTTTTCTAGGGCAAATTTTACCAGTATCTGATTAGGCTTATGAATTCCTCGTTAAATATAATTCCGATTATTGTACAGCACAGCTTATGAAAATGAATCATCGAAAAGGAGATTTTCTTCACTGTTTACGTCTTCTTTTCCCTTATGATTCAATATGGGAATACTCCATTCGTTGAAGAATAAAAGAACAGCCGGGAAGTTTGGATGAAAAAGGATAGTAGTGCAGAGAGGGATTGAAAGACGTATAAGATAACAGAAATAAACAGAAAGATTTTTAATTGAATTCTAAATTTTCCCGTCACCATCCACCAATTATATTCTAATTACATGCCCAGACATCGTCGAAACATCTGCACAAGAAGCCGACATGTCAACCTGAGACCGAGCACTTTGGTCCAATCAATCGACGGGAAAATCTAAAGTTCAATTAAAAATAATTAATATGACCCATTGCACAAGAGGTGGCTCTCGTGGCCCAAATGGTCTAGTGGATAACGCTTTAGTGTTTGAAATTATGGGCACTGGCTTGGAGTCTCGGTGGGAACATCATCACTCACTGGGGAATTCAGGTACATCCAGTAGCTGACGAGTCCCAAATAGGACGAAATGCGCATCCTGGCTTGATTCCACTGCTAGTCACCATCGTCCAATTAAAGCAGAAAGGTTGCATAAGAAAGCTAATAAGATAATCATTATTGAGAGAACTCAACGTTTTATGATGGCCATAGTAGAGATGACAACGGTTGAACATATTTCTTTTGGATACATAATGTGGGCTTAAACTCTTGGATCACTAGTTGTTCCATCTATGCCAAGATGCCTTGATCTCATTCCCTTTGTGGGATTTGATGGGATCATTGTATACGAAACTTTGAAGGAGTGTTCAGACGGTACTGAATGTATTGAGTTCACCGCATGTTTGGGAACATTATCCATCCTGACTGACTAGTAGAGTCAGAATGTAGGTGTATATATATAGTTGGGTAACGAAACATCTAGTGAACTCAACACATTCAACTCCTCATAAAAAGTCCTTCAAAGTTTCATATACAATAATCCCATCAAATCTCACAAAGGCAATGAGATCAAGGCATTTAGGCATAGCTGAGACACACACTAGCAATCGAAACTTTCAAACCCACGTTATGTATTCTAAAGAAATACGACCACCAACTATTGTTGTCTCTATTATGACCATCAATAAGAAGTCGAATTCTCTCAATAATGATTATCCCATTAGCCTTCTAATCCAATCTGTGCGTCGGTGGCACAGTGGTTAGGACTCTCGCCGACTATGCACATGGTCCGGGGTTCGAACCCCTGCCGACGCACACCCGATATCTATGGTCGGCCTGTAAATTTGGGCTACCGATATCCATGCTGGAAATTCCATACTTGTACTGAAAATACGGTGTGGCATCACGCTGTAAACAAAATAATAATAATAATCTTCCTGTTCATTGCGGCATTTTTAATCCCTATTTACAATCCTATTAATTTAATCCCTGATCGGAAATAGTTTTGTAGCTTTTTCACTCTACACGAATGTACAGTCTAGTTGATGGTTGACTTCGTTGAAAAGAAAATTTTGACTTCACCGCTGTCTGTTTGTCTGTCTATCAAGCGTCTTTTTAATATTTCTCACGATCTAATGTTGTGTCCGTGATTTTCACAAATTTCTTTTTTCTGATTCTTTTAGGCGACTAAATGAAAAACAGAAAGTGAAACGTTTACATGCCATAGAAAAACGTCTAACAGGTTTCGAACACTTGAAAGGTTTGCTCTTATTTGATAGTGTAATGCCCCACTTAACTCTGTTTGTGTTATAGATGAAGTGAAGTTCAACGAAGTGGTTACAGCGCCACCTGTAAACTTGACAAAACCAAAATTGGTTATTGGAAAGAAGTGGAATCAAGTACATAAACTAGACAGGTGAGTTAGTTGATATATACGTATATGTGGGAATAGAACTTGGTTGCCATCTGAAGTGGTGACAACTAATACTTACTTTACTTTACTTTGGCTTTCTCCTACGGGAGGATGAGCCGGCTTCATGAACATCTCGAATCATCGCTGCCCAGGCGCGGCGATCTGATGAAGAGAGTTCATGAAGTTTCATGGGAATTTGGTACGAGTGATGTACCCAGAATCGCTCGGCCTTTTGTTTGAGAGTGCAGCTCTAGCCTTTACACAACCAAGTGTGACCTACAAGGTAGTAGGAGTGGAGTAGGGAGTCCACTATCCATTGGCAGCCGGTGATCGGAGTTCGGTTCATACGCCGTTTTGAATGGAGCCAGACATCCAGGACATCCAACAAGCCCTTTGTCCATACGTGTGCCGGTGAGCTCCAGTGAGGTTCATACGCCAGTCGTTGGAGATTTGGAATCAGGGTTTAGCCATCTCCCCCAGACTCTCATCCAATGGACAGTCAACCCGGTGAAGAGCGCCGGGCATCCGCTTTCGCCCTCTCACTTTGGTGAGAAACACCTCTGCCACATGAAGGCAGTGAGTAGAACTTCCTCAGGAGAGGCAATGTAAGACGCCCGGTCATATGGGAGCATTTCAAGAGGTGTTTGGAGGGGTGGCCAACCCGCAGCGCAAGGCACCCACCCCCGACCATCCTGAGGCTTTGGAGGCAACTAATGGTGTCCAACAGGGATGCCAACTCAGCATAGATGTATTAATGGAATTAACCCTAACTAGCTTCAGCGACTCAAGGATTGACTTCTTACCAGGGAGGGAATAATCTCGTTGACTTAGAATATGCAGATGATATAGTCCTCCCTCCTGAGTGGTGAAGACACTGACAAAATGCAGAGTCTTCTGAAGATATTGAACAACAAACAATCTTCGAATGTTTGGCATGCGATTCGCTCCCACCGAATGTAGGATGATGCTACAGGACTGGACTGAACTACATTGATTGACTCCTAGCTTAAAAATAGGGAGTGAAGTGGTAGAGCGCGTTGACCGCTTCACCTATTTGGGAAGTTGCACCACACCATGGATATAGAAAATGACAAGTAATGAATACATTTGCGGCGCCAATGAGAACAATTTTCAGCCATACCACTAACAACAGTCTCCAGCCAATTGGTTCTTAGAATTCTCCAGAATTCCAACTAGTTAGCCTAAGCCTCCCTACATCGCTAGCTTAAACTAACTAACTGTCAAGGATTTCATGAACTGACTCTACGTTTCGGTTTGACCGCCGCCTGCTCTTTTCCAGCCTGACCCTATGTCAGCTAACATTGCCCGTCGAAGAAGGCGATGCCTAGGCACACATAAAACATGTCCTAACTATTTCAGTCGATACAGCTTCACAGCCTCATCGATTGATTTCCCCTCCTTACCTAGCACTCGACGCCTAACCTCAATATTGCTCACCCTATTATACCATTGCACACGGGAGATAGAAGGCAGACACCTACGATCAAAGACAGCTAGCTGGCGTTTTCGTATCTTTCACTTTCAATGGCCATATCCCACAGCCATAAAGGAAGACGGAGCGAACTGTTGAGCAGGACACAAGTCCTTTACTATGTAACTAGGTGGATATTACGTCTACACGTAAAATGGCGTATCGTATCTATGCTGAGATTTTGTCAGGAATTAGTCCGCTGGAGCTGATATAGCCACCCAACACTCTCTACCACTTCACTCCTGCCCAGCTTTAAGCTAGGACTGCATTTTGTCCAGTCGTGCAGGCCTCATCATACATTTAAAAGGAGCAAATCGCATACTAAAGACTCAATAATTTTATCAGAGTTTTCACCAAGGAGTATAGGTCGACGGCAGTTATTCAAATTCCTTTATTCTTCATGCTCAAAGGTTTTAAGCTTTACACGCAGTCAAAATCCCTCTAAAATGGAAAAAATATGTTATCACAGGGAGTATGTATATTTTTTGTCATTATTATTATTATTGTTATTATTACTGCTATTACTATTATTATTATCATTACCTTTAACAACCTACACATTCACATTTCACTTTCCTATTTTCCCTGTTGTTTGTCTTCCTCTAGAATTTTGGCAACGTGAAGTGAATCAGTAATCTTCCAGTCTCGTATCGGTGAAGTGAAAAAAAAAACATTGTCATATATATTCAAAGAAAAATCCTTCTATTTTTATTCCCGGTGTTGTGAATTTGTTTAATCTTGCTAGTAAAGTTTGAAAGTTATAAAAAATTCGCAAATATTCCCCATTCAGACAATAATAATCGACTGACCGACTGACTGACTGATTGCTTTAAACACAAAACTCTGTACAGAAGTGCCCCAGTCTGAGTTACCACTTTCCCTCACTTTAGTACACAAAGCAAGCGGAGACAGTGAAGAGAGATTCATAAAAAGAGAGATAAGAAACAGAAGTGTCAGTGAGGGAAAAAGAATAAATAGTAATATGGAAGAGCAATAGAGTTTTATTGGATGATATGACAAATCACAAAGAGTGAATGCAACTGCGCCACCTCATTAATTGTCTCCAGTCAGTGGTACTCAGAATCCCTAGGACCCCAACCAGACAGTTAGGAAGTCTATACCTTCCTATGTGGCTTGCTGGCTTAAACTAACTGTTGAGGATCTCATTGACTGACGCCTCCATTTTTTGGTTTTACCACCATTAGATCTTTTCCCACAACCTGATCCATCCTATGTCGGTCAGCTAACATTTCCCGTTGTCCAGGAAGGCGATGGCTAGGCATACGTAATACATGTCCCAACTATCTCTCACAACCGATGTAACTTTACAATCTCGTCGATTGATTTCCCCTCCCACTTGCCTAGCACTCGTCGATGCCTAACCTCAATACTGCTCACTTTATTATACCGCTTAATATGGGAGATAGAACGTAGGTACGTATGATCAAAGACAGCTAGCTAGCCTTTTCATGTCCTCTACTTTCAGTGGTCATGTCTCACAGCCATAAAGGAGGATAGATTGAACTGCTGAGCAGTACACGCCCATTTTTCTCTTCCTTCACGTTCCCCAGTGGAACATAGGACACCTTCAAGCTAGTGGCTTGAAGTTTCTTTAGCAGTGCTTATTTATTTTAAAGGATGGGGTTGCTAGCCTCATGCCCAACCTTTTCCCTTTACCAGCATTATATCTGGCTTAGCGAGGTAAAGGAGTGCGTCGGCCGGGGATCGAACGCAGGACCATGTGCATGGTCGGCGAGCGTCCCAACCGCTATGCCACCGATGCACGCCCTTTGGTCGACAGCATTAATAATGGAAGGAACAAAACACGTAGTTCAACAAAGCGGCTGTTTTCGCGGTGAATTCATTTTCTTCTTTAGCTTTACAATCGCACTTATATACAGTTTTTCTCATGAAAGACGATAGTAACAAAAGTGATGAGTTGTCACAATCATAGTTGTTAATATTAGTCTGTGACAACAGAAGACAAGGGCCAGGCAACAGATCGTTTATTGAGAAAATCAACAGATATTTATAGATTTTTATCTACATTATTATTGGCGTTATTGTTTTTTTTTTGGATTTACAGCTTGATTTCCACACCGTATTTTCAGTACAAGTGTGGAACTTTCAGCATGGATATCGGTTGCCCAAATTCAGGCATACCATAGATATCGGGTGTGCGCCGGCAGGGGTTCGAACCCCGGACCATGTGCATGGTCGGCGAGAGTCCTAACCACTGTGCCACCGACGCACAGAGAAGCAACGTCTTCTCATTGGTCGTTTCCTTGCTGAAGGTTATTCTATCATCTCTTTGTGGCCGTTTCTTAGACAATCCGGTGATAGATCTGCGAATCATATCCGCACACGCTAAGTCTGCTGTGATTGTTTGTTGAATCCCTCTAGGTTGTGCTTTGTTCTTCTTTTTGTTTTCCTCATGACCCTGATTTGGGACGTGAACATTGACGTCAATCGCCGTCTACCAATTTTGGCTAGCAGACAGCTCTCACCACAGTCGACGCATAAGAGTAGCTGAATCAGCGTATTAGGTTTATGTAATAAGGTGGATAATTTAACGAATAAGTTATGATCAGGATACTTGTAGACGCGAAGGAATATATTGAGTTATGCAAGAGTTCTAAAGAAATACAAGAGCCATAAGCAATTGGCAAAACAGGCGGACAAAACTCAAGCCAGTCGACGCCATTAAGATTGTTACCATGATAGTAAAAGTGGTTGAATAACTTTCTTCTGTATGCATAGCTCGGATTTCTCTAACTGCATGGCTAAAGCTTTAGTAATCCAAAGGCGACGAAACCTATTGCCTATGGCAGGTTATACTTCACTTTGTAGATTACTTTGCAAGAGGCGTTTGTTGAGATGTAATGACCAGTGTTGACACAAGGTGTCCTTAAGGATTGTCGCATTCCTTACAGAGCCACTAATACCGTTTTGCAGCCATTCAGGATGATATTCTTGAACGCTTTTGGACAGGATACGCGTCAAACAACCAATATACTTAGTTCCACAGCTACAGGTGAACTGATATGTGCACCTAGAAGTGGTCAAACGCGAGATCTTGTCTTTGAGACCTCTGCAGACCAATGGACAGCTGGATAACACTACTCTTGGTGTTGCTGCGATGAATGTTCTTCTTATAGATGCTGAAATTCTTTTCAGGATATCAGAGATTAAGTCTTCCTTGAAAGCCAGTTTCATGTAAAGTTCCTTTTTTGGAACGAATAGTGTTTCGTGCGTCTGAACTTTTGGTTTAATATTGTTGTCAATGGATCTTGATGGGTATCCATTGCGGATGAAGGTTTCTAGGGCGTCACGATTGCAGATTTGGGGGATCTAAGGGGCAAGGGATTTAATTAAATTTCGTTTTTGTTCAGAAATTCAACTGTAAAAACTTGTTGGTTGACCGCTCGAGGTGGGTTTCCTATGGACTGACCTTCTTAAGGTTCCATCAGGTCTTATTGCTAGTCCCACATAAAATTTGAGAGAATTTTAGATTCGTTTTCCATTTCAAGAGTGAATTTTATTGCCGAATGGCAGTAACAATTGATTTGGGTCACAAATGATGAAAATGTTATCTACATACCACCTTGAATACCGTTGTGAATTGTCAAGAAAAGGATTGATGAACTTAATAGAAAATCTAAGCATGTATAATTGAATTTCACAAATTGGTGGGGTTCTACACTCTGTCAGTATTAACACTGATGTTCAGGTGATGTAATATGATTTCTTAACCACAACTGTCTGCTGAGTTTTTTGAGTTGCAGGATGAACACCACTTAGTGATTTCTGCGGTTTACGCAGGTTATGATGTGTATATTTCTCTTGAGATATCTGACACGATGAGATGCATTAGTCGATCTTTCAACGGTAGAAACCGAAGTTTCTAATGACGCGTTATTAAGATAGGAAATATTTGTGGTGACTGAGTGTTCGCTTGACTTGTAATCCGGACATTTGACTCTAACATTGCTATTAGATGGCTGGAGCCATCTGACTGACAGAAAGCCCTGTCTGATCTAGGTTTCGTGCTTGTTGGCACTCAACCAGTTGACGCAGTGTGTTTACAATCTTGGAAGAAATTATACCCTCTCTAAAATTCGAACCTGGTTTCACTCAGCCAGTGTGCTGTAGTCAGTCGGGTTCACGACTGATCCTCTGTAGGACTTGACTGTAATAGATACTTTGATTTGACGCCAGGTAGTCCTTTGCTTAGTGCAGACGTAGATTTATGGTCAAGTCAGTCAGTAGATTTTCACGGGCACATGCTAACCAAGAAGTTAAAACATAGTTTTTATGCCGGTGGGTGCGTATTGCTGAAGAGTCCCAAACTAGGACGAAACAGCTGTCCAGTACTCCCAGGTTTTCCAATGGTTCTCTAACTGATGTCAGCTCATGATGAAATCCTGTAACCAATCAAATCCCTACAAACCAACACTTGAAAATTAGCAATTTGTTGTAAAATAACTGTGATTCCTAGTAATACTGGCCATCTGTATCAAAAAAATGAACCATTCACCTTCTCAGTCAGTCAGTCTTGTTTGTCTTTTCAGAGTGGAAATAGTTGTCGAGTGATCTGTCGTATATTCCTGTGTCATTATCACCGTCATAATACAACAGGGTTTGTCTAGGTTAGTGTACTGTATGAAGCTTAAATCTCGGTGTGTCTAGGCATACTGTCATCTGATGAGGCAGTTTGAAGACTGCATGCTAAAGAGGAGCTGTGTGAGAAAAAAATGAATTTTTCGAAAATCTTTGAAAATACCCATCAGAACATTGGAGAGAAAAGAACAAGAAGTTCGGTGACAGTTTACTATGCTTGTGTGATGCTTCCAATGTAGACAAAATAAGCATAAACTTAGGCAACACTTGTTCCGGAATTCAGTCATACTGCAACAACGGAAGACAAGGGGCCAGGCAGCAGATCATTATTGTTAGCAGAGAAGCAAAGTCTTCGATTGGTTGTTTTCTTGCTGAAGGTTATTCTGTCATCTCTTTGTGGCCGTTTCTTAGACAGTCCGTTGATATATCTGCTAATCGTATCCGCCCACGCTAAGTTTGCTGTGATTGGTTGTTGAGTTCCTCAAGGTTAAGAAGCTTTGCTCTTGTTTTTTCTCATGACCCTGATTTGGGTGGGACGTAAGCACTGACGTGAATTGTTGTCGACATCTTTGTCTTGCAGGCAGCTGTTACCATAATACTACAACGATATTTTCACTGTGATCGTCTAACCGGTAGCCATTTTGTGGATCTCTTCTCTTAAGCATACATCTTGCAGACTTTGTATTCTTACCCTAATTTTGTCTGTTAGGATTTGAGCTTGTAGACGTAGGTATTTTTCAGGCATCGAATGTTTAAAATACGGTGATTTACACGACTTTCACAAACTATCCAATAGCCATCCTGCAGAATGTCAATACGTCAACCTGAAGTGTCAGTTAATCGTGTCAAGTCAGTTATAAATCACTGTTAACTATTTACATTCTTCAAACAGTTTTGGTGAATGGTGACTAACAGTGGAATCATAGATGGGCGTTTCGTCTTATTTTCGACTTCTCATCTGGTTGTACTTGCATTTCCAGTGAGTTTTGTTGTTTCCATGGGCACTCGAATCCATCGTTTTAAATGCTGAATAATATTCACCAGACCACATGAACCACCTCTTGTGCAACTGGCAACAGTTGACATATTTTCTCGCCAAATGGATTTTTATTTTCTCCCCCTTGGTTGATTGGGCATGTCAATAGAGGCTTGACATTTCTGTC